TTAGGCATTACGGATTTCACAGAGTTAATGCTGTCCCGATTGCAGTCTAGAGAGTTGATTTCGAAGAAGTCCACTGCTGAATGTAAGCCTTTACCAGAGTATGCCATAGGGCATTATCTCCCACTTTCGCCATCCAGTTGCTCCCAGCCTCCCTCTTCAAGTTATCGGTACATCTGGCCGAATGACTAAGGCTTTGCCACCACTTGAGAACCTGCTTATGCTTATTTAATCTTTGTGTGGCATTATTTTTACATAGGTACATATATCACACCTATTTAAGATATGGAGTGATGCTAATCTTAGCCGGCATCACTCGGCATTATTAGAGTTTGCAATAGGTATTAACATTTTATTTGACATCACTTTACACTTTCACAAAACAGCTCAATCGGTCATTCTAATTCTGCAACACGTCTGCTCCTAATAAACTGTGACTTGATTGCAATACCTAGATAAAACCGTTATATCATAATCTCTTAATAAGCTGTCTTACAATAGATCATTGCTACTGTGATATTGCTAAGTAATTCAATGTAGAGCAATAAAATTAAAATTCAAATGGTTATACATACTTAGGTAATAAGATGACGATAATTGCGATGAAGGGCCACACCTATGTACAGTCGGTATAAGCTCAGAATTTTCAGAAAAGCCGGGTGGTTGCTAGAGTTAATAGTTATTCTAGATACCTATCTGCAAGCATAGGTACAAATATCAGTAGGTAGGTAACTAGGTGTAGATGCTGCAGATAAATTGCTACAACCTGTGCATGTCTATAAATTAATTAATGGTCTAAGATTACATCGAATAGAGATATGTCATCCCATACTTAACACAGTAGGTCACTCTATGAATCATATTGAACACGTTAGTAACATTATAATAATCATCGCATTGAGCCGTCACATAATGCAGTTGCAAATGCAGCGACAATTTACAGCTTAACAATAAAGCTCGCACGTGACAGCTAACAGCTGACATTCAGCAGCTTTTCCACTTCGGAAGCCGGGGCGATAGCTTTGGCGATAGTCGCTCGGTGAAGGCGACCTTGCTATGTAGCGACCACAGGGCGGGGGCGCTAAGACCGTCCACCGCGCGCACCGGACCGACACTCGCGCGCAAACTACCACGCATGCCGCGCGCAACCGAAACGAACATTCGAAATTCAAATTTAAATTCGGAATGAAACAGTTGTAAACATGTGGCTTTGGTTGTTATCCGTCGTTGCCGCGGCGGTGTTTTCCGAAGTAAACACCGCGGGCGCCGGCGCTGCTCGTTTGGTCTGCTACTCCGAAGGTGGCAGCACTAGCGGTTACGATGAGTGCACGCACCTGGTGTACGCGGGAGACGCGAGGGGGGAGAAGCTCGATGTGCTCCTCAAAGAGTACAAGAAGAACAACCAGAGGCTGAAGGTTTTGCTCAGGGTTGGAGAGGTGGATAAGGTAAGATATCGCTTTTTTACTACGAGTATCACCTTAGTTTCAATACAAAATAGCAAGGAGAGCCGCCACCATAATATTCACCGTAAAATTCTGACACCAAGGTTCATCGGGTCGTTGGACGACTTGGTGTCCCACTCGAAGAAGAAGACCATTTGCTCGAAGAAGAATATTTGTGAAATATTCATATTATTGATACTGGAATTTTTAGGACTGTATCAGAATTAGTTTTGTTCTTTATCAAAGAAGAGTTCAAAGACGTCCTAGAAAAATTGTTAGGATGTGTATTATTTCCAACAATTATAATAAGTGGCTGAAAAATATCGAGTGTGGCCGTTGCGTTTGAACCCGGGACCATGAAATACCGTTCTATCGCTCTACCAACTAAGTGACCGCGGTCCGTTACTAACGTGCGTTTTTGCAATTACGATAGAATGTGTATAAGAAAATACTTACTCCTAGACTTAGATTGATATCTTTATGGACTGACAACTTTTAAAGTTAGCCGTATATGCAGGCTGACTAGTGGCTACCTAGACAGCCGATGTGGCGCAGTGGTTAGTACGACTGTCTGCGACGCAGAAGGTTTCAGTTTCAATTCCCGGTGGGGTAACTCACAAAGTTGACATTTATCACTTTGTCAATTTGTTCCCAGTCTGGTCAGGACATTGCAGGCTGAACAAAAAAAACAACAAAACAAAAATAATTATTTTCTTTAACAATAATTTTACATACTAACTAAGTGATGGAGTCTCCTTTTAAGCAAGTAGAATGCCTGTATCAGGGGACTCCGCTCTTCCCTGGCAAACGATGTCTTTAATAACAAAGATTACAATTAAAGTTATTGGTTAAGAAATTTATAAAAATATACACACTGAAATTAACTGGCCAAAAATAAAAATAAAATAAAATAAAAACAAAACATAAAAAGGAATGTGACTGTGTTTCATTTCCAATGTGTGTGTGTGTGTATGTGTGTGTGTGTGTGTGTGTGTGTGTGTGTGTGTGTGTGTGTGTGGGTGTGTGTGTGTGTGAACCACGTGATTGTTCGAAAAGCAAGATGGTTCCGTGCTTCGGAGGGCACGTTAAGCCGTCGGTCCCGGTTGCTGTCTAAGATCTGATCACTTAGACAGCGGTCGTTACACATTCATGTCAGAGGCCTGCTTCGTGCAGTAAGTGGTTGAAAATCTCTGACACCAGGGTTCATCGGGTCATTGGACGATTTGGTGTCCCACTCGAAGAATAAGAAGTGGCTACCAGACCTAGCTAATGAGTAGGTAAAGTCTGGCAAGGTCATAGTCTAAAACCAAGCCTAGACGAAGATATATTGCACCTGAGATGAGTCCGAGCCCTTATTAAGTCAAGATTCCATTTTAAGTGATTATTTTAAAAGACTACTGGTTTATCTTCACCTAAATTCTTTAGATTTTGATACGTACCTAGGTATGTATATTTTTTTAGACGCATGAGGTCCCGCCTGCAACACGTCCCTTTCCACTTTTTGCAAAATGTATTTTTGCCAAGTCTCTTTTTCAAAAAGCCCTTCTCTCAAATCGTCCCTATCCCATTACGCCCATCTATTTCAGTGCACCTAATGGGTTCTAGCGTTATTTTACTAATATATCAGTTAACAATATTTACTTATTTAATATAATATAATGTACTTATTTTGTGCCAATTTTACCTCAATTTTTAAACCAATTTATTTGCCGTTTTTGGCACACGTTGATGTCTTTTATACTAGATGTTTAGTACCTACTATAACCTAGACATTTTATTTTGGCTTTGTATTAACTTACCAAATATTTCCTTACTTTAGAATAGGAAATCGAAAGGGTCATGTCCACAAATGTATGGATGGTAGCTTCAGTTGCATTGCTTCTGTGTCAAAAGAGACAAAAGTGCTAGAGTTTAACTCCCTATCGTGTATTTATTTCTAAATTCATTACCTCCCTCCGGTAATAAAGGTTTACACCTGAGTAAAAATAGTTAACACTCGATAAAATTAAAAATAATTAATTAGTTTCCTTATTTTGTGCAATAATTGCCGTGCCAATTCTTCGTAAAAATTGACGATGTTATATATTTCTTTAATTGGATTTGTAATGCGTGGTTTCCTATATATTTGCATAAAAAATTACATATTATCGTTTGGCACATTGTACTTAAAACTAATGATACTTACGCATAATATTACCCTATATTATGTACCTACGCAGAACACTTTTCCTCAGCATTATTTATTTACGCATAGCAACTTTCTATTTCCGTAATAGTAGCATAAAATACAAAACCATAAATTATTATACCTATCCACATTCAAAATAGGCATAAACATCTTAGGCAGAATGTGAACCTAAATTGTATTAACCTAGCCTAATATCTGTAAATGTACTTAATCAAGTAACCATAACCTAACCTAATATCTATCAATATTATCTTTAAAAATACTAAACTGAGGTAAATTTTAGTCAAATATTGCAAAAAAGATTATGCAAAAAGCAAGTTAGTTAGTTTCAGTGTTAGTCATAAATTAAATAGTCTAAAAATATTATTAGACCTGAAAATTATGATCTTAAAGCAAAGATGGCGGAAAAGAATAAGCGAAACATGACTTAAAAAAACATATTAGTGAAAAAAAGTCGGCGAAAGGGAGCCCGTTACTCTTTTAAAACAGGAGTGGTCATTTTTTATCTGGATTATGAGCTCAGTCAGGCGATGAGCCGAGTGACGATGGATGGAGGAGGAAAAAGGTTACACTACCGTCCTGGTTGGGTGATATGACCAGGCTAGCAACTGGTCCATCCGGACATATCTAATTTGGAAGTTCTATATAGCGATCGGCAGTAAAAACTTCAAAACAGCGTTTTAGGGCTGTATGGATACAGGTTTGTGGAGGGATATTACGGAAAAGGCGCGCGGGGCGCCTATACAAATGGCTCACTCAGTACTAGCGTCGATTTTGATGCTTACTGATTTCAACTGGAAATAACCGGAATAGTCAAGGTAAATAAGAAGTTGGTTGCTACGAATGTCCATATTTCTAGGGTTAAACTTGGCTCCGAATCATATGAGTTTTTACTATTTTGATACTCTTTGAGATTGTTGACAGTAACAAATGACAATCGCAAAAATACTGAATAGGGTCGAGTGTCGAGTGAACCTTCTGTTGTGGTGACAGTACTTTTATATCTATTGGGATTGTAATGCACTCACAGTGCTATATTATTCTCACAAGTGAAAATAAGAAATAGATAAAATGACATGCATCGACCGGGGATCGAACCCGGGCCGCATGGGTAAACGCCCCACCGCTCTGCCACTGAGCTATCGATGCACGGCCGATGAACGCCAAATTATCTATCTCTTGATGCTCGTCTCCAAGCGACGATCCAGCGACATCTGTAGAAAGTATTTAGAACTTACTACATGGTTAGTCCACATTATGAGTGGAATTCAAACCATATGATGAAGCTTGCTTAATCAATCTATTGGGATTGTAATGCACTCACAGTGCTATATTATTCTCACAAGTGAAAATAAGAAATAGATAAAATGACATGCATCGACCGGGGATCGAACCGGGCCGCATGTAAACGCCCCACCGCTCTGCCACTGAGCTATCGATGCACGGCCGATGAACGCCAAATTATCTATCTCTTGATGCTCGTCTCAAAGCGACGATCCAGCGACATCTGTAGAAAGTATTTAGAACTTACTACATGGTTAGTCCACATTATGAGTGGAATTCAAACCATATGATGAAGCTTGCTTAATCAATCTATTGGGATTGTAATGCACTCACAGTGCTATATTATTCTCACAAGTGAAAATAAGAAATAGATAAAATGACATGCATCGACCGGGGATCGAACCCGGGCCGCATGGGTAAACCCCCACCGCTCTGCCACTGAGCTATCGATGCACGGCCGATGAACGCCAAATTATCTATCTCTTGATGCTCGTCTCCAAGCGACGATCCAGCGACATCTGTAGAAAGTATTTAGAACTTACTACATGGTTAGTCCACATTATGAGTGGAATTCAAACCATATGATCGCTTGGAGACGAGCATCAAGAGATAGATAATTTGGCGTTCATCGGCCGTGCATCGATAGCTCAGTGGCAGAGCGGTGGGGCGTTTACCCATGCGGCCCGGGTTCGATCCCCGGTCGATGCATGTCATTTTATCTATTTCTTATTTTCACTTGTGAGAATAATATAGCACTGTGAGTGCATTACAATCCCAATAGATTGATTAAGCAAGCTTCATCATATGGTTTGAATTCCACTCATAATGTGGACTAACCATGTAGTAAGTTCTAAATACTTTCTACAGATGTCGCTGGATCGTCGCTTGGAGACGAGCATCAAGAGATAGATAATTTGGCGTTCATCGGCCGTGCATCGATAGCTCAGTGGCAGAGCGGTGGGGCGTTTACCCATGCGGCCCGGGTTCGATCCCCGGTCGATGCATGTCATTTTATCTATTTCTTATTTTCACTTTTATATCAAATATCAATCGACCTTGACACCCCGAAATATCAGTCACATAAATCACCGACTCCACTGCGACACGTCGATATCTCTGAGAAAAATCACGTGCACATGGAAACCCCATTGCAAGTGACAGTAACCTATTGAGTCACTTCATTACCTCCAAGTCCTCTTTGTAACGTTACATAATGAATACCATACTGTTGTCCAATGTTTCCCAAAGTGCGTCTCATTTACAAGATTTTGAATGAGACTGGACCATAGGTATGATACGAGTTGAATCTGACGGTTGTCTTCATTTCGGCATTATTGTATGGTGGAGACAAATCTGTAAGGTAGTTTATTGATTAAATATTTATTAATTAGAACTGCTCTACAATACAAGTAATTTAACATACTTTCATTTGGCCGTGTGGTGCCGGCAGAGTAGAATAGAACCATCCCCTCTCTTCCCGTGGGGTCGTAGGAGGCGACTGAGGGATAAACCCGACCCAAACAGCCAGGGCCAACCGTATGGTGGCGGTTGATCCACCACAACACGATTTTGTGTTTAAAAAAACGTGTTGCGCCGACACCAAGTAATTGGGATAAGGGCAGGAAGATGATTTGGTACTTTAAGTCTCTTCACAATTAGATACATAGTTTCACCTCTACTATACACAAAGGTGCTGATTATCTGCGTAATACCTAAATATCAAGAACTGCGGCATTAGATTTAGACCCATGAAGGAAGAAATTGTTAGGTTTTGATGTCTTTTGCCCTAATAGCCGGAGTTCCAATTGCTTTTTTTCTTATTAGCATGTATCTAAATATTTTTGCATTTCAAATCTTGTCTCTAGTTTGACAACCACTGCGACTGTAGTATGTCCAGGTTTTTGGGTCGCCTCGGACTCATTAGGAATAATTGCTGAACAATTACAGTTCTGAACCATAGTCCATGACAATGAGCTGTTTGTAAACTGCGAGACAAAACAGCGCACTGTGGAGAGCAGGCCAAGTTCTTTAAGATCAGGCTATCCATTTACCTAACATTCAGTAATTCTAATTCTTAGTTCAAGTCAAGCGTCATAACTATTTCATTTAGGTATATCTATTCGTAATTAAGTTTATTGGATAAAGAATTGTCTACCCTAAGAATTATACCCATCGCTATGTTTATGCTGTTCTTTCGTTGTATTGGAATGTCAGTCCTCTTTTGATTGAGCTGACGCCATCAACGAATCTCTTGCAGTCTCAACTTCTGGCTACCTTAATTAGATTTAAGAGAAAATGCATCACTAACTAATTAAAAGTTGTGTCGAAGAACTTGGCTGAATGAAAAATCTGTGGTAATACAGGAAATCAAAACGGTATTGCCTAAGATTGGATTGGATGCTGCTCTGTAGGTATTCTCTTTAGCATTTGCCTAGCTTGGCAAGTCCACTGCCGTGACACAATCGCGTTACGAACAAGTTGAGTGCAGAACCTTGTAAGGAAAGTCCGAAATGCCAACATAACACTTTACAGACCAACTCTAATTGACTTCTTTGTTTCACTATTGACATGCTAATCAATGATAGGTGTAACGAGTTTGGCCCGGTTGGCCACAGGTTCAATTCGCGACTATGATAAACGTGTCCTGATTCGTCACACACCCATAGAAAGGTATTCAAAAATCTTATTACTGGTCAACAGTCCTTTTAAATTTAAGTACGTTCAGACAAATAATTTTGATCTGTTTTTATTTTCAAAGTTTCTCTGATAGAAATTTCTTCTAGCAATAGGGCTTTTTCCCAAAAAAGTTTAAGTTTTCCTGTTCACATTCATTGTGACACATACATAGTCTGTGCTTTGAATGTGCATTGAACCGTACAAGTTCTAGGTAAGTAGGTACTAACCTAAGTAAATTTTCTCGCTTTATAATAGACGTGACGAATTACGGCCGGAGTCTGCTAAATGAAAATTATTTCAGTTGTGTGTCAGTTAGCATATCAGTTGGATGGTTTTGCTAGCAGTTTTTAGTATAGAAAATCACAGTGGCAATACAATGAGTATCGCTGGTATTAGTAAAAAATAAATATGCATTCTTGGGGCCCAGGACTCATGGTACAGATGATATATTTCATGACGAACCGGTACTGTGGCAATTCGGGACTAAGTCGCAAGGTGTAACTGGTTTAAACACTAACATTAGGCAAAGGAAACGATGGAATGTATGGGCTTGCATAGGAATTGGTGCGTTTGTGGGATTCAGTGAAAACAAGAGAAAGTTTAATTTAGAAGTCTGCTTTATTCAAGAGCCGTGTGGTAGCGGCTAATAATACTACCACCCCTAGTCTACTCAGGGTGTTTCGTAAAAGGCGTTGTAGAGTTTTTGACTTCGGCCGAATACCTATCTGTCGATGATGGTCAACCGCATGGTGGTGGTGATACCTCCTAAAATAGCATTCCCAAAGAGTGTTGACGTCAGGCAGGCACCCGGTTATAAAACATTGCCAAATCCCTTTGCTACATGATTTTGTGCTCTAACAAAAAATGTTAGGTACGCTTGACCCCTACTGATTGATGTTTTTACCTATGTCATTCAAGGTTGCTTTATTTATGAATGTAGCTGTTGAGAAACTAATTTTCATCTTCAGTACATTGTCATCTTCGGTAAATAGACAGTCTTGTATTAGTGGTAAGTATGGTATTACCCCAGGCTCTTCACCATCTTTCTGAAAACTGTAATGGCCATCCATTATTCAGTTAGATACTAACCAAGCCTAGGTTTTGCTTCCTGGTCAATAAGGATAAAAACGTTTAGTAGGGCATTTGTCAAGATTAAAATTATTAATACCTATATACTTTGTTATTTTTGCTTCGTTTTCTTACAGTCAATAGTCTAATACCTACCATAAATCTACATGCAAATCTTGACAGTTTTTTTAAATACCGTTTTAGACCATAACAAAATAAGTTCGTAGTATCTTCGGTACTTCTTTATCTTAATCTTCTATTAGTATGCTATAGTGACATTTTGTTTTTCTCACGGATGTGGATCATCAAGGTACTCAATGATCTTATTGTTATTTTTTTTGTTTTGTTTTGGTAGATCTTATCGCTGATTTAACAAGTTTTAACGAACCTTACGTTATTTATTAGTTTGGCAGTGTTTTGTTTTGTTTTACTTTGTTAACAAGTAGACATAAAATATAGTAACAATAGAAGTAGGTAAGTGGATGATGGTCTAATTAAAATTACCAATGAAGCAATTTCTAACAAGCATTACAAAGTTGTCCTAAATGTCCTAAATGTCCAAGGAAGGTAATAAAACCTTCTGCATCCTCCTCATTCACTAATTTAATCATCATCATAAACAGTCGAGTAACGTCCACTGCTGGACATAGTCTTCCAAGAGGAGCCGACGTACTTGAAAGCAAGAAAGAAAAATGTTTTTTTTGTTACCAAATATTCCAGACACAATAAACATAAATACAATACGTACATAAGTAACAAAAATGTGTCCACTCAGCAAAAATACTTATTTTAACCGCGATTTTCGACAGCATCCAATGTTTACCTTTTAGATACCTTTACAACATCATTTGTCCTACTATTAGCGAGGAAAGAAAAGACCCAGTATGAAAATATATTAAAGTTGCATTAGTCATGTTCATGATCAGTGTTATATTAACGACAAATGACTAACAATAAATCACGGATCACGATCGTCATAGTAATGTCGTATACCTGCATCAACCCATATAAGCCGATTGTTTGTTAATAACTTTGTGTTAACTAGCTATTTCATTAAATTAGATACTATGGGTGTGACACCGAGGCTAACTATGTAGATGGCTATAAATTGCTTAATCTTATGTCATCTACAATCATTGATCACCTAGACCAGAAGATGTTATGCAGGTATATCTATCTACCTATGTTCTAAGCTGTACTATATGGGGTATGAGAGCGATAGATCAGTACAAGCTACAAGACGATGTATGATTTAAAGTAATTGTAACCTTCGAGCATCTTCCGTCCCGTTCCGAAGATTGTAACATAATAAGATCATTATAATGATGTCATACCTTCGCGACGCTCAACTCAGCACACTAAGTAGGGTGCAAGCAAGTAGAATGTAAGGCAAAGTGTACCCACCTACTAAATA